TTTTATTTTATTTTATTTTATTTTATTTTATTTTATTTATATGCCGCCCACACTACCCAAAGGTCTCTGGATGGCTTACAACAATTAAAATACAATACAATTTAGAACAATTACTGTAAAATACAATTAAAATAAATATATAAAAATAGGTACCACCTCGGTGGGAAGGTAAAATGGTGTTCCCGAGTAAGGCTGGCTACGTGACAACGGAAACAGTCTTTGGACAAGCGCTGGCTCGAGAGTCCAACATGAACACCGTCTCCTAGAGTCCAACAGGACCAGACTAATCAGAAGCAGGATATGGGATGCAGTGGGGAGGAGAGAGGGAGGGAGAGGGGGAAATTAAAAAGGGAGTACAGGACGGGGTCCCAGAAATGGGGCTTTGGAGGGAAAAGACGGAGGGTCAGCTGGGGGCGATGGGGCTCCCCTCCTCCCCCCCCATACCTGGCCTGCCATTCTGAGATCTCTCCTCCCCCCCCCAAAGGAGAGGATCCTCTGGCCAGCTCTCCTGGCTGCAAGGAAGGGCCTTCTCCTAGAGGCACCATACAGAGGTGCCCTGTTTGCAAAAGGCCCCTCCCTCCCTCCCAGCTTTTCCTCCTCCTTCCCCTGCTCCTTTCTCTGCCCCACCGGATGGAAGAAGGAGAAAGGCAGCCCTTTGCTCTCAGCAGAGAGGTGGACTCACATATCCGCAGAGGGACTTTCTCCAAAGAATAAAAATATAAATAAAAAAATATTTTTAAAAAAATTCCAGAGAAAAAAATTGGACATGCAGCCCAGGGGTGGTTCTCCGCATGTGGCTCAGCCGAGAGGTGGGACCGCGTGTGAAAGCCTCTTCCAAGAGGAAAATCTTAAAACATAGAGAAGAACAAGCCCTGCTGAGGGAGAATCAGCATGGCTTCTCTAAGGGCAAGTCCTTCCTCACAAACCTCCTCTTAGAGTTCTTTGGAAAGGTCCACAGTCATGTGGATGTGGGCAAACCCGTGGCTATGCAGCCAAATATGGACCCAAATGCTGCATCCTGTGAAGAGCATTTTTGTTTGTTTGTTTATTTATTTGTTTGTTTATTTATTTGATTTATACCCTGCCTATCTGGTCAGAGAAACTGACCAGGAGCTCCGAAGTCGATGGCCTTGGTTTCCTGGTGATTTCAGGCCAATTTCCCCAGAAGGGGAGGGTACGCTGGGGGTGTCTCCCCCCTTCAGCCATTCAGGGGACCCCCTTGGT